CAGATGATTTGCTATTATTTTAATCAAAGGAGGAACCATGCTTAACAACATATTATAGACTCTTATCTTTAGATTTCTTGGAAAGAAAGTGGATTGGCGTTTTAATTATATACCCTAGAATCACATAATGCTTTGATTTAAAACATACTATCTTGTCCTCTTTTATATTTCCATATTTTAACATTCAGTGATCAGAGGCCATCTCTACATCAAAATTAAACTCTTGGGACCTAATACGTTCTTCTTCTGCTGTCTTATGGTGGTTTTAGTATCTAAGGAGTTATAAATTACAGAAGGAAATGTGTCCTTCATGGACCTATTCCGATGATTGCCTTGTGTGATCTCTATTACAATAAACCTTAATCGTCACTGTCAGTTAATATACTCTTGGCATCTTCCTTCTATTCCTGCACTCTTTTCTTCTTTCTTCTGTAATTGGAAAAAAATCTTATGAAATGAATGCAATTGAGGTGTGATGAATTATGCAAGGATAAATGAATTCCCAGGTTTGCTTGGCTCAACCTTGCAAGTTATGGATTAATCTAAAAAGATCGTTCCTGTTCAAGCATCAGTTTTATAACTACATTACATTAAATGTGAAAGGAATGACAAACAGAGTACCTAAGGTGAGAAAATATGTAAATCAAATAATATCTAGCAGATGCAAGTGCATTCTTGCATTATTACCATCAGTTTGTTAGTATAATTTTATGTGCGCTTCAGTGAAACAAAATACAAATATGCAGATCCAGGTTATGACAAGCACTGCCAAAAACCAAACAAAGCAAAACAAAAACTAAAAGAAAAAAACAACAAAATTTAAATGAGTATTAAAATAATTAGAATTTAGCTAGCTCATGACCAAACACAATGAAACTGCACTTTAGTCTCACTACAACTAATATCCTAGAATTTAGTAAATTATTAGTAAGGTAAAAATTGTCACTTAGATTTAAAAGAAACTTAACTTACAAAATATGAATCCTAATGACATTTGTATATTCAAGATATTGTCTACTGACTTATAAAATATTATTAGGTTTGGATGATTTTAATATCAGCCGAGTTGAAATCAGCAGTTCAAATGTACAGTCACA